CCCTGGTTGCAGGCAAATACACACTTGTGTGAGTGTGTGCTTGCATTGAATTGAATAAGAGCTTGTAGATCTGTTTGTTTATTTACCTCATTTTAAAGATTCAAGTCTCTAAACAATTTCTCTGAAGTCAGTCAAGTGCTCAGGATTTTGACTTAAAACACAGAAGGAAATCTTCAGATAATACTTGAATTTCAAGTTGATGCTGACATTTCTGTTGTGTCTCTCTCACATGTCTCAGGGCAGCAGATTGGTAAACGTGTTGAGAAATCTTTTGTAACAGTCATTAATGTATGTACTATAAAATCTCACGTACATGTACATGTACCTCCCGGTTGGATTATTTTAGTACATGTAATTTATTTTTGTGAAAAAATGATTACCAATTTAAGAAATTATATCAAATTTTGAATGGTACCACTTGACTGGATATCCGGACAATGCCTCCTCATACTGTACTGTGTGCTACAGGTACAACTTACAGCGTATACATTTATATAGCCAAAATGAATCAGCACAACAGTACCAGTTTCAAAGCATAAGTTCAAAAGTCTAACATAATGGGTTAAGCTTAACCACCCTAAAGTTTGCCTTGAGCATTCAAAATGTTTGTGACCCCCCCAAAATGTATAACTTTTATTTTGACGTTAAGAGGTTTGAATTACGACCAGCCTTTTCAATACCTATCTTCACCTTGCAGGTCTGTTTAACAATGCCTCTGAAGAGATGGATGTCTTTGATTTGTTGTCTGTCAGCGATGACATATTCTTCACAAGAATCATTGCAGGTACAAAGAATTTGTTTTGGGTATTGAAAACAGTTTTTAAATAAATTAATAAATTTACATAAATTTTGACTTTGAATTCAAAGGAACTCTGTGCTATGCATTCTGACTAATTTTGTGGTAGTTCACATTTAATATGATACATGGCTATAGAATTACCGGTATGGTTATTGCGCACAAACTTGTAATCATTTTTTTGGAAGTAAGGTGATACATGTATCAAGACAAAACTGGTCATTTGCAGTGGCCCCTCCTGGTACCTGGTGATAACTACTGTGGGGCCAATGTTCCATGACAGTTGCTGTGCACCAAACCGTACACAATACTTTCTACTGTTAAAGGGGGCTGTTGGAAATTTCTAGTGAATTGTTACTAGATTCATGTGTATCCACTGAGGTACATGTACATGTATGCATGGAATTGGTACAACTTAGGGTTGATATTTGAGTATTCCATGTATGCACGTGTACATGTACCTATGGTCTGTATGAGGACTGTAGGGTCAACATGGTCAAGTATACATTTGTACTGGGATATATACATGTACATGTATTTGTATCACATCTCTTCCAAGACATTTCTTGTTAAAAGGCGAGCAGTTCTACAAAAAGAGGGCAATCAGCGAACTGGAGGCAATCTGTCACTCAGTGCTAAAGAGTTCAGAGTGAATGAGTATCTCATGACCGAAAAAGACAAGGAATATGCTGCTGCTTTGCATGGTGCTCCGTTTCCTCCAGCACAACATTTCTTCCAGTCCAAAGACTGGATCGAAAAGAGCCAGGTGTTTCAACTGATCAAGCTGTTGCCAAAAGGTAGGAATTTCACAGGCACATTTGTCCACACTTGACATAAATACATGTACATTGTACATGTGTTGTATAGTTACAGTAACCATCTGTGATAAATGTACATTACAAGTATGCTGCCATGTACATCATTTAATACTTAACTAGTTTTTAATCACGAGAAAACTCTTGCACTTAAGAATAAACACTTACATGTAAATTCAAAGGGAACTCTCTGCTGAAAAAGAGCTACATTTAAGCAGTCGTCAGTCACTGAAATATTGTGATTTTGACCCCCCACCCAAAATTAAGGTCACCCCTGTATACCTAAAGGTGACACAAATTCATGTATATGTATGTACATGTAGATGTGGCATACTGTGGTCATCGATGGTGAATTTTTATTGGTCACGAATTAATCATGTGATATGCTACAAGCGCACATGTATCATTCACGTGTTGAGCGCACTGGTGAGGTTACCGACCTACAAAAACTGATGGATTACGATCATCTTTCCTATCGTGTTTTGTGTACTGAATTGTAATTGTGTAATCTTGGCTACGAGGGTGGAAAGCTGTGGTGGTATTACAAGCCAGTTATTGTCAGAGATGTGCACTTTGTGGGGAACATTTACGCACTGTGTCTGTTCGTATGTGCTACTCTCTTCACTCTGACCATGACAGAGACCTGTGGGTTATTAAACTTCTGTTCGTGCACCCAACTATGCTCACGGAACACATGTATACTCTGATAGCTGTTTCTGCTGCAATCGTAAAATTCTCATGCCGTTGTCTACTCTCATCTTCTCTTTAATCTTTTCAGTACTTTTCAATGGAATAGTTCAAATAATGTCTTGAAATTCAACCAGTTGCTTTACGAATCCAAGGTTTCTCTGAAAACCAGTTTATTGTAAATCCTAGATTTCTCCTTCCCCACCCCCAAAAACAAAAACACACGTCAATGAAGAACATCACAATCAATAATTTTCCTTGTAATTTAATATCTATTTGACTGTTCAAGTGTTTCAGTTTGTTAGAGTGTTGTAATTAATCTTGCAATAAAATACACGTATGCATATACGTGTATTAGACATATAAGACCATTCTAGTGTGATGTATAACCGTGGTTTAACAAAACAAAATTTGCCTTTTGTGATGGGCAATCTTCTAGCTACATGTGGTTTTAGTGCCGGGTAAATTTTTGGATTGCAATGAGTGGAGCTGTCGCTGCTCATAGCCAGACTGGATTTGCACCTTCTATTGATACCGCTGTTCGGCTGGTCTTGAGCCAAGACTACGAACATGTGCACACTGCCTCGGGGCAGACTACATTATATCCCATAATTTCACCTCCAGGTCTCGTAACAATGCTAGCTAGACATTCTCAGCGCTTTCTGATGCTTGAAATACGATCAAATTGGTACATTTTCAGTATTATTTCAATTCATTTTCATTGAAAATCCGTGCTGGGCAGCACTGCCAATTTGAACCTGAGAGCAGGGCGGATATTTGCTTTACAGCACTTTACAGTGCTCATGCGGAGATCCTTGTTAAGTTGTGTAGTTGTCACCATGTTCACAACAACTGAGGAAAACCCCACGATTGCACTTCAATTTATACTTTAGAAGCAGAGTATTGACAATGACAGCCCACAAATTAATTGCAAAAGATGACATACAATATTCCTAGAGGATGGATGCATAGTTGCATATAGTCAAAACAATATGCAGAATCTTAGGAATGTCTGGGGCATGTGTATTTCGGATGAATGTGGCCAAATATCATGACATGCAGAATGGTGTGAATAATTCTGAGCATGTCAGAATTTAAACAGTAAAGTATTCTATTTGTTGTGCGAATGAGGTAAAACCATGACAGCTAAAAGTATGGCCTAAATATTATGTGCCCTCCTGTCATTAAAAAAAAAAAAAAAGCTAAAATTTATAAGGGGTATGAACAATTTTATAGTAAACTGTACTGTACCCATGTTTCTGGACCTAATGCTAATATATCAACCAGGTGTATAAATGTACCGGTACATGTACATGTATGTATTTCACTTGTGTGTAAATCTTGATTAACTTGGTGAATCAGTATTTATAGTGCTTTATGTGCGTTCACACAGGGTCATTTCATATGCATGTATTCAGTAGGAATGCAAATGGTGACAAAATAAACCAATGAACTTCTCAGTGGTGTAGATCTTGTACAGTTTGACCATTCTAAGGAATTGTTTTCTTTATCCATCCCTCAAAATAAACATACTTTTGAGACTGCCTTCAGAAGTCTTTATTTCAATACCGGTATTTCTGAGAGTAACAAATCCTCTTTTTATGGAGATGGGGGTGGGTGACTAGTAAAAACCTTTGTGTACAGTATTTTTCCAACACAATGATTTGAATTACATGTAGTAACAGATATACATATTTGAAGTCAGTCAAATCGGATGTAAACTTGTATCTTTAGAAAAACGTCTAATGTAGGTACATTGTAATACATGCACAGTTGTCCATATATACATATGCAAGATTGGGCTTGTGAAAATCTTTTCGTAAACATTAAAATGTTGATCGTCTGTGGTAACTTTGGTAATTGAATGGGTAAAGAACTTGTATTTGTGCATACACGTTAGACATGACCAGATAACATTAAAAATAATGGAATTACATGCATTGTTTCACATGTAGGTGTGGGTTTGAATTCTTGTAGCTACTTGAGATTTATTGATGTACTCCATACTCCAAAACCAGTGATTTAGAAATTCAAAACTTCTCAGTATCTTCCATTTTTGGCAAGCTGCGAAGCAAATGCGAGCTTACAATGTATGTAATACCCATTTCTGTCTTCTGTCCGTCCATCCATCATTGTGTCTGGCCGTTCTCAAATGTTAAAGTTTTTCCTTGCAGGTCCACAGGTGTTCAAATGTGCCATTGAGTGCTTGTTTGCTTCCTCTTGGAATTCCATCAGTGTTTAAATAGTCTTATATGGATTAATGCTTAGGAACTTATGAATTTAATGAAAAAATTATAAAAGTTGAATGTTAATGTTTTGAGTTGAATTGCGTACTTGCTCTGTAGTACATACATGTACAGTACATATGTACATGTACTGAGCACTCCTGTTATGTACATGTATGTATGTATAGACAGTGTTCAGACACATACAAACGTTTATGTACGTTGTACATGCACAGTATGTGGTCAATTGTAGGGGATGGGGGGGACTCCAAATGACAGATTCGGATGTTTGTTGGGGGAGGTGTACCTGTAAAAGGAGGATCATGGGGACAAGGTACATGTACACATGGATGAAATGCTGGATGAGGTTGGCGTAATGGTTGGGCTGGATTAGTGGGATGATGGGACAGCCAGAGTAAGAAGTGAAGAGAATGATGGGGAGGGGTGGAGTAGGAGATGGATGGGATGATAGCATTCCTCTCTCCTGGAAAGAACTGTGAAGCCTTTGCACCCATATCTCCCTTGTTGGTGGTCTTTGTTGATTTACTTTAAACGACAGGCGCCTTTCAACACACTTTCTGTACACAGCACTAACTAGGTTTTTTCTGCTAGAGTATAATGAATTTTATTGCTAAGGTCGATAAAATATCTTGTACATCTGTATTGAAGTCGTATGTCAACCAATTTTGAAAAAAATTTGGATGTCTCTTAACATAAGCTGTTGTTACAGGAAAGAAATTCAAATTCATAACAAGCAGCAAGCCGTGGTGGCTTTGCCAATCTAGTTTAAACATTTAAGCCTAAAAAAGTGACCTGAAATTAAAGTTAATACAAAAACTTACCGGAAAGGAAATCGTCATGTAGATACACCCGTAAGTATTAAATGTACATGTGATTAAATGTCAAAACCTTGTTTATCTTATAAGTACATGTATTGTGCTAGTTTTAAGAAGTGGTGCAATGGTCTATTAAACACATGTTCATGTGAATGCTACTGGTCATGCTGGTAGTAAGTACATGTTGAATATGAGGAAGGGATACATTTGACATGTAATTACCAACCATGACAAGGAAATAAAATCTGAAATCTTTGGAAATTCCAGCCGGAATGTTAATGGTTTATATATTTGAGACCTTTATTGAATGTTTATAGAAAGTTTTACCTGATGTTAAGGGTTTTGGTTTCCTTACCATACCAGAAAAATAATATTTTTCCCCTTTCTGTTTACAGGATATCTTCTATGATGGACCAGCACACCAAAGTCCTTGAAAAATTATGTAGATTATGTGGTGAAAGATGTACATCATCAGTTAAACCTCCTAAAAGATGTAGTGACTATGCCCTGAAAATATTGCAGATATTTCAGGTGAATGTCCACGAAGATGAAGGCAACATTCACCCACCAAATATGTGTCATTCATGCTACTGCTTCCTGTTTCATTCAAATACTAGAACTGCCACTAATTGGCCAAAGCATCCTAGGACTGGTAGTTGCTTTGTGTGTACAAAATTCAGTCAGCAGTCAAGACCTGGACGAAGGAAAAAGTGTGTGACAAGGTCTGGTCGGCCAAGAGTACCTCCAGCCTATTCAGAATATCTCAACAGCCTTCCGCCTTCCCCTTCAGTCGACAGGGATAAAATTGGCCAGTTTGTGGCATTATCAGATACTGCTAATGTAGAATGCAGACTTTGCAACCAGTTGCTCGACAATGCTTTGGAAACTTCCTGTATGCATTTATTTTGTTGTAAGTGCTTGATTGTACACTTTGAAACAGCAGGTCTATCTGTTGTTCCTTGCCCAACCTGTCAAGCACCAGTGAACTACAAGAGTGTCACTTCCCCAAGAAACTACTTTGCTTCCTTATACTCATCACTACCAATGCAATGCACTGTGTGCAATGTACTTGTTAGTTTAGGAAATACAAAGTCACATGTTTGTAGAGGTATGCCACCTCTACAGTTAAATCCTTCTGTCTTTCTGCATGATCATGGATATGCATCAATGTCTAAGCCACCTAGTGAGGTAGTTCGCATCTTACACCGGTCCCTGAATGCTCCTGTGACCTCCCAAATGGAAGAGTTGGGCACACACATATTGAGAACAAAGCTAGCCCAATCTGAAGATGGTTTCACAGTCAAATATAAGACTGGAGGTCTGGTAAGTCTTTTTCAGCTTATATGGTATTTTTTTATGTTTATCCCTGAATAGATGAAATGTACATACATGTATATAATTTATGTAACAGGGATAGAAATACAAATGTATGTAGATGCTGGACCACCATGTCTAACGTTAGGGACCAGGGGCCATGGGCTATTGATGGGAATTTGGGGATCATATAAGGATTTTGTGTCAGAGAAAATAATTCAAGTGTTGGAGAAGCATGAGAAATTTATACCCTCTAGGGTGCTGCTTGGAAAGAGGAAACCGCGCACATGGGCGTGAACTGCCGGCATGTTTGCTGGCAAATGCATCCATAACCCAGCCGTGCTCATACGGTAAATCACCCTTTGATGAGTGACGAGCACAGCACTCAAAATCGATCTCAAAAAATGGAAAAAAGTTGTTCAAGAGATAATTCAAGAGATAAAGAGATGTTCAAGATAATTTCCATTGATGCCTGCATGACAACTTTACACCCGGATGTGCTTTGTCATCAAGGGATCCATTCATCCTCTCTGTGATTCAAATAGTGCTTGGGGAGTTACTTATTTCCTGCTTATAAGCCTTATTGCATTATTGTTCACAGTATTACATTTTCCGCAGTGAATACCAGTGTACTATACTGGTGCCAAATGCTTCAGGGAAGCTTAGAACAACTGAAAAGAATAAAATCTGACTGCCTGAGTTTTCAGAGTAGAGTATTTCTCCGTTTCATTTCCCAATTTAACTATCCCAAATGGTCTCTTTCAATAAGAGGAGTGAGAGAATGGTCCAGGGGTTATTTTTTGTGCCAAGAATGTATTCAACAGACAGCATCCAGGGACTGTTCGTTGGGACCCCAGTGCTAACAGCACCAAGGTGTTGGGTTAGTTCAAACCCTGTTGCAATTTTTGATGTTGCAGTTTGAAGTAATCTCTTTCTTATATTCCAGCCTCTGACAGCAGTTTGTGTTCCCCAGCCTCGGAAAAGTAGTCAAGATGCCTCCTCTGGTTGTGTTCGGCAGCGCTCTAAAATTCTAGATAAGATCCGTTGTCTTCTTAGTATGGATGCTAAAGAGATGCAGCAACAGGATGAGCTAAAGCTTTCCAGCATGAAAGATGAACTACAGAGTATCTTGAAAGACTTGAAGTTGAACACTATTAGAATTCCACCAATGAAGCTCCTTGCTGTCAAAACACATCTTGGAATCTCTTGGACACGTATCAGAGTTTTAAAGAAATGGTTAAAAGGTTATAACATTTTGACTGAAGGTGAACAAGCTTTGCGCAACCAACAGAAAGAAGTCATTGCCGAAAACATCCTCACTGAAAACTTGCTTCTTTCCTTCCCGGATGAAATCAATGGAGGAGTTATCATTAAACAAGCTCCCTATGTTGGTGTGAAGTGTCTTGTCACCAAGGTCAAACAACAACTGGATCAATATCAAAAGTAAGTAAATTTCATCAATGAAACCTGGAAATTTGTTCTCAGTAAATGTTATTTACGTGTATTTAGGCCAGTCGGATGCATAAGTTCTGGGTAATCTGTTCAATGCACAATTGATATTTGCTGAAATTTGTACATGTACTTGGAATATGTATTTTTAGGGTCATTCTGCAAATTTGTTGTCTGAAGGAGACATTTTTGTGTCCCTGTTATACGTGACCTGTGTAATTTAACATGGAAATATTGTAATTACTTTTGAACTATATTTGTTCGGCATGAAAATTGCTTATGCAGTCACTTTTGGCTGTAGAATTTGTCGTTAACTTGAAGAAAACTGGACCCCAGATTTAATAATGACCCTTTACAAAATCACATTGTTCCTGTAATCTGAAATACAGTTGCATTTTACATTTTGACAAAGATCAACTTCATATCTCTTGAAAGATAAATGGTATATAATGATCGTGTGAACGGCTTTAAAATCTGATATTTGAAAAATGCCAAAATACATGTAAGTCATGGTTTAACAAATTGTTAATGTTCAACTGTCTCTTGACAAGTTGCTGGTTGAGGGATTCATGACAAGCGATATCACTGTTCCTTGTGTTTGGCATACCTTTTTAGTTTACAGGTTTAGTAATTAGAAAGTACAAATACTTGCATGATCATGTTCCATAAATTTACATGTCAGTTGCATTTCAGCAGCATAACATGCATGCAGTGTTGCCCCTACATGTACATCTGTTTGCATGTAGGCTCTAAGCAGCGTCTTCAATACCACAGTGTATACAGACTACATTTCTGGTGCAAAGCAATTGAATGTTTCAATTTTCAAATTCATTAGATCTGCTTTTTTGAAAGTCAAGATTTAAAAACACTTAGGGATCGTGAAGTGAATTGTTTTTAAACAGTGAAATCTTGTTTCAACATATACTTTACAGGCATCAACAGCTGACATGGCATGACGGCAACATACCACATGATGAGATTTGGGTGAAAATTGGAGGTGATAAGGGAGGTGGCACATTCAAGCAAATGATTCAAATAGCCAATGTCCAGCATCCAAACTCGCTGCGTCATACCATCATAACAAATATCTTTGCAGCAGAAGACACAAGGGATAACCTCAAAACTGGACTACAGCGCTTTCGCATACAAGTTCCTGAACTTCACTCGGCCTTTTGGCGGGGCTACAACATGAGGCTGTTCATGTTTGGGGACTATGAGTATCTCTGTAGAGTTTATGGAATCACTGGAGCTAATGGTAACTTCAGGTTTGATGAGGTTATTTTGCTTTATGAAGGTAGAAATAGAACTGACATTCTGTGATGTTGAGGAAACTGGAAACTGATTATTATTGGAAGCTACATGTACTCAACCTGTCTCCAGCAGTACATGTAGAGAGGTTGTTTTTTGGTCATCGGCAGTAGTCGTGCATATTGGTGGGTTGGCTGAGGGAACCCCCCCATTAGAAAATGGCAATTTTTAATGCAAAGAATAATTTTGGGGATTTTTCTCCCAAAGGAAAGTAAAAGTGCTAAATTTAGCCTCATGCATCACTAAGGCCATAAAAGGTTACAAAGAGAAATTCCTGAAAGGTTTGCCTTCCTCACCCCTAAATCTGGGTCTGGATCTGAAGAGATTTTATCAACACTTTTATTTTCATTGGTTTCATTTGGTTGTACTTCTTTGTAGTGTAGTGTCAAAGCATACTGATGCACTGTTAAATAGTCTCTGGTCCATTGACAATACGTGAGTTTTAGTGTGTGGGTATGTCACCCTGTTGACAGGACGTCACTGCTGCCTCTACTGTAACATCACCAAGGACAACATGCAGCAGGCCTTTGAAGAAAGATCACCTGTAGAACAGAGATCTCTAGAAACTTTGAGCCTTGACCTTCACAGATTCAGAGCTCATGGTGCTCATCTTACTAAAGCAAAAGACTTCAACAATGTGATTGATGAGCCAATGTTTGCTGTTCCATTGACTCAGGCAAGTTTGAACTTAGTTATTACATTTTTAAACTTTTACTCTGGTTTCTGTTCATTGCTATGGTTAACTTTGAATGTATGTCATGGTTTTCTGATGTTTCTTTTCCAATAGGTTTGTCCACCAGGGCTTCATATCAGTCTAGGTTTATACCTTAAACATTTTAACAGCTTTGAGGGAGCATGTCATGACCTGGACATGGAAGCAGCAGCAGTGCTTGCTGAAAATGACAAAGGAGATGGAGATCCAAAGGTATTTGGTAGAAAGTATCAAACACTCATATCTGACTTGAAGCAAGCTAGACACTTTGAACAGAAGGCTAAAGCCTTAGATGAGGAGTTCAAACTGATGGAAGAGCAACTGACTGACACCATCTTGACAGCGGAGGAAGAAAGTACTGACATGGAGGATTACATCTCTGCAACGAGTGAACTCGTACACAAGCAACAGCAACTGGTAAAATGCTTCTTGGTTGATTTTACATTGAAAGTATTAATCACAGTTTACAAGTTTGTTGCATTTGTTGCTCTGGGCATGCCAGTGTTTTTTTTTTTAAGAGGGGGGATTCTGGTTCATCTGAAGAAGCATGTTAAGTCACAAAAAGGCTGATGGGTTACTGATTACCCGACAAAGCCAAGCTACCAATACACAACTAATTCAACTGGTTTGCATGAAGTGATGAATTCAATACTAACTGCTCTTCAACCTTTTATTCATGCACTGTTTTATGCCAAAGTTTATTCTCTTCTAGCACAATAAATACACTGTTACAAAAGAAAATTTGTGGACAGTTTTTCCCAAAATGGCAAGGAAGTGAAGATCGTTACAGGATATACAAGTAGTAGTATACTAATGATGCCACACATTGTTTCTGTATGTGCTTTCTTATGTTATACAACACCTGCATAAATCCCTGTCATCTGATTAGTGGATCGTTGATCACATGGCATTAAATTATTTGTACCAACACATAGCATGCACAGGACTTGCACTTGAAGTACATACAGAGTGTAAAAAATTTATAACAGCTGTAGAAAAGAATAACAAACACTTCCAGATTGTTTGCACTGCAGCCTCTAGTGGTACACGTTTCTTTATAGCAAAATGATGAATGATCAAGCTCCACTGTTCACATTTCTACGAATAATTATAAGAACTTGTTTTTGTAAATAATGCTGATGCTGCCAACATAAGAATACGATGAAATGCTGCCAAATGATTAAACGAGCTTGGAATATCATCTTTAAAAATTAACAAATTCACAACTGGACAACTTTCAGTTTTAATCAGTCAAGCTGTACTCAGAAGACGAGGATTCATACAGGTGTATTATAAAACAAATAATGAATATTTTGCATTCGTGCAATGGTAAGAATAATTGCATTCGCCTCGTGAAATAAGCATTTCATCTGTCACCTCATGCAATAGAGCCTGAAAGTAAAAGGTCATGCAGCAAACTTCCGGAACCCTCGCGCTCTCCGCCTTTTGGGATTTTACACTGTGCCGTGATAATTTTTGGAAGAATAATTCCAAACTAAATCCACCCCATGAAACACTCATGTTGGAATTTTCTCTTTGTCTTCCTCAAGTAATGTTTGGGAAGAGTCACCTGGAGATGGGTAAAAAACTAATTTGATTAACGACCTTTTACGTCCGGCAATAACGTACATGTACCTAGGTCTCCTTAATGCATGTTTGTTTTCACTCCCCATGCTTATGTGAAAACGAAATTGTAAAACATTGCAAAGATTTATCTAACTGTAGTCAATGGGTTCCATGTTCCGTTGATTTAACATAAAGTAGATTATTGCTTTAAGTTTGTTTCCTTATAAATTAAAAAAATATTTTGATCTGTTTTATTTATTGGCTTTTACCAACAGACTACCATAAATTTCAAACCGTAAATAGTTCATATGTGTATGAGGCCGCCTCATTGGACAGGTGTGCATGTATTGTAAATTTTCGGAAGTGATTGGTCAATTTTTGGCAAGATCTTTTAGGTCAGTTTATATTTCAGTTTCTATAAACTGATATACATGTACCAGCAAATATTTTCCAAAGCCCTTTTTCCGAGTTGGATTTCTGAAGAAGTAACTGAAAGAAAAATATTACGAATTCTAAAATCTGCTCGTTATCTTTCCTATCCAAAGGGTTCAAGAAGGTCGCCATCAGGGGTCAACTTGCAGGCTCTATTATTATCACTATTGCACTCGAAAACCTTCATTATTTGTATAATATTACACATTTAAAGCTCTACTGATGTGTACTTAAGCATCTGTCATCAGGACACAGGCCTGTTGACTGTCGCAAACAAATTGAACTCCTTAACAAAATGTCAGCAGTTCAGTGAATGAGTTGTAAAGACTAGAGTTCCCGTTTTAGTAACTAGATGAGCCTGATGATATTTTGATTTATTGAAAATTCAGCTTATGAAGCAATGAATGCTTAACCATTGTCTGAAATGTTTGTTTTTCATTTTTTATATTTTTTCCAGTTTGAAAAGGCAAAAGCTTTGCGTGACAGTGCAGCTCTCAAGCCTGGACAAGGACCACTAGCTGGGCAACTCGATATCACACTTCAACAGTTCCGAGTAAAGCGACAGGCATATGATGGCAAGAGCTTTGTTGGAAATCATGTACATAAATGCTGCAAGGTGAATTATTTATTGTGAACATATTAAATATGAAAGATGCCATCTATACCTTGGATATTTTATATGAAGCAATAGGAAAATACATCTTTGTGTAGAGTGGTTTGTTTTCAGTTATGTCCACCACACCACTTTGGTAATCTTTGCCTTTGTAGATAATATGAAGAAAATATTTCATGTATTTGTATAATTTTATTAACAGGAAGAAAACATTGAGCTTTTGACTAATGCATTGGTAACCAAGACCCAGCAAGTATGTCCATCTCTAGTGCCATCTGCTACATCAATTGCTGCCAAGTATGCACAACTATTTCGTCTGTTTAGTACATGTCACCGTATGTACAACAGCTCAGAGGTTTTAGAGGACTCGGCTATCGATGCATTAGGTAAATGAATGAGAGAGAATACTAGAAGACTTTAGGTGCTGTGGTGGGTAGGCCAGGTATCCCTGGGCCTACCCTAAGTTGAGGAGTCAAGTCTAAACCATTTCGGGTCTTGACTTTAGCCTAAACTTGGGTTCCTGCTTGGTCCAGAGATCACTCAGAGCGACTTAAGGCTATGCGAGCAGATCCGTTTTGGTGGAAATATACATGTACCACCAATTATGATGACTGTGATGCTCTCTGCCAGTTTGACAAAACATGTACACAAGAACACCTGAGAATTAGATTGCTGGTAACCTCAAACAACAGTGTGATTTATTCAGACATTAATAAATAAGTAATTGATTAAGTCATTAGGGATAATGTGTATTGGGTAAAGCTTTATTACAACCTCTATTGCTTTGTGTAGTCTTGAAGAGAGGCTACTAGCAATACACAGCTAACATCGCACTGCATCATGCCAATTAGCAACGCACTGACTAATGTCACCTTGTGCAACTCCTATATGCAATGCACAAAGCAATGTCGCATCTCATGAACGCTATCAGCAATGCTTGTCCAATGTTGTCCAATTACCAATGCTAGACCCAAGTCACACTGCACATCTCAATGTTCACTGTCTAAAAACATCGCCCAAATCTACTACAATGCACCTGCATGTGAACAGCTGGACTGCACAATCTGTGCACTGCTACATGGAGACAGTCTGCCTTCACCTAGCATATAGCAATGTACACAGTGCTCTATCATGTCTATGGCAACACATGCCACAGTGAGAGCACCCAGAACTTGCGTCATTACAGCTTTGTTGACACTGGCAGAACTCGGAGCAAGCTCCGCCCACTTACGCACTTGTAAAGATCATGCACAAACCAACAAGCTTACTACACGTACATACACAGAGTGCTACGCTCTGCCTATTCTGCGTACGTCACAGGACATGTACACACTACGCTAGTAATGCAATCCTTGTGATTATGCTCAAAGTTGCGAAAGTTGGTAAACTTTCCACTACAATACTTTATGCCTAACATGCTGTCCAGCTGGTACGGTATGTACTATCAGAGTGATCAATTGTTCACCTTTTCATAAAAGCATGAAACTTTGCTCTATGTGTATGAGAAAATATTTTGGAAATGTGGAGCCATCATAAACTCATCTCTTAAGGGGCATAGCGGCCATTTTCCCTGCGTGACAGTGGGGCATTGTATCACCTGGGGACACTGGTCATGATTATTGTGGTGTAGACCCCACGTTCCCTTCTAAAGGAATTTCAATTGATCAGTAGGTGTCCTCCACCCCCCTGCATCTATAAACCTGTAGAAAGACGGTCAGGGTACTCTTTTATCAGTCATACTGGATTTAGGGGAGGGCTTCAATGGCTAAGCCGCATTGTCCATTTACACATACAAAGGCAGCTTTACTCCCATAATAAGAACAGCTGCATTGTATCTATCAGGATTCTTATGGCCTTAAAGCTTCATTTGAATGGGATTGGTTAACCCCAAAATTAAAGGAATAATGATAAAATGCTTTTAGAGAGTTCTCAGTTTCAGGGTGTGATTATATATATATTTACTAATATACTAATATTTAGTTTCACCTCCACTTGTATTCTTTTTCACCTCCATTTGAGGTACTTGCCTTTAAATGCTTGATAACATTTTCACAATTGTCAACCAATTAAATAACACCAGTTGATCCCAAAGGCATTTTGCAGCCAAACGGGTTCAGAAATCCCTCTTTTAAGTTGAACTGTTTAGATTTGTACTGATGTGTGTGCCATTATGGAAGACAACCAATCTTTAAACATTTCTAGACCGCAATCAAAATTTGTTGTCACATTGGAACTTGTATTTCAGTGCTAGGCAGTCACAATACTCTGCAAATGAATGTTCTGATTTGCAGATGGAGACACAGTTCTTCATACAAGTGATTTGTGATGATCATCGACGACTATTAACCTCAGTATTTAACGTTGCATATAGAATCTAGACCGGGAGGTTCAAAACCTTGGCATGAACCTTTGATGACATGGAATTTGCTCCAACACTGTTTTAGTGCTCCTCTCAAAAAGTTTTAAATGACAGCCACACCCCTAAAAAGAAGAAGGTGGGTTTAGGGGGTCACAATGTGGTATGGTGGGCACACTGGTTTAATGAGGGCCCCCATTTTTTAAATGGCCCCCACACCCCAAAAGTGTTCTCAATTTAAGTGTCTTAGAAATTTGATAATGAGCTCTCAACTCTTAAGTGGCTGCCATGTCCCTAAAAGGGCGAGTTTGCAATGGCTCCATTGTCATGAATATAAATATTGGTGCAAAGTTTTACACTTGGATGAAAAAGTGCATAATTGTGTTACTTAAAGATTAAACTTAGCCAATTGTAAACAATCATAATGCAATTCAATTCATTAACTTTCCTATTTTCAATTTTTATATATCCAGATCAGGCAGTTAAGGAGTATTTGAAATTCTTCCGGGCAGAGTTTCCATTGGAAACAATAACGCCTAAAATGCACATACTAGAGGAACATGTAGTCCCATGGATAAGGAAATGGCACTTTGGTCTTGGATTTCATGGTGAACAAGGGGCAGAGTCCGTGCACAGCCATTTCAACTGCCTGCGCCGTGATGTGCGAGGAATACGTGATGAAGTGGATATTTTGAAGTCTGTTGTTAGGTCTCACTGGACTCTGACCAGTCCTGCTCATGCACCACATACTGTCTTTCAATGAGGGGTTAGTTAAATGTACTCCACATGTCCCACCCTAAATTGCCTTAGTGTACTATGTACATTACATGTAAAGTACAGCACTGTAGGGTTGAGTAGTTTCTTACGTATAAGTAGCTTGAAATATGGCAAGGCAGTCTTCACTTGTTGGGAATGTACTGTGAAATGTTAGAGCTTTCCCTAAAAATCTGTCTCTTAAAATCTGTCAGTAGCTACTGAAACTATAAATGTGGGTGAATAGATAACATAGTTACACTATATCTGAAAGGAAATCAAATCAGTAGCCCTTGTATCACATTATACATGTACTTGGGTCCGTCTTATGAGGTTGGGGTATGCTGTGTGACATTTGGACAAGTGAACAGATATTAATAAAATTGGATGGTAGCCTTAAGTTGGCATGACATAAATTTACTTGGGAACATTTTTTGAGCACCTTTCTACTTCTAAGTGCATGAAAACTAAACGATAATCTTACCGAACAGTGCACTTTTTTAACATTTGAAATTGTACATGCTTTATCATGTCTTATAATAAGACCATATCAAGTCACAAATGCATTTAGCATGAATTCAGTTTATACGTTTTAAGATAAATAGTGCCTACTATTGTAGTACAACATAGTGATTTAGGGCTCCAGACAGTGGCATCTTTTTTCAGACAGATGCTTTATAATTGGGTATGTATATTGTATTTGCATATTAAATGGTCTCTTCATTCCGTTTTTGCAGCACTTTGTTGTTTACTGGGAATGTGTGCGTTGGTGATAAATTGCTTTAACACATTAAAGTATAATCTTCATTAAGAAATTTTATTATTTTCAGTAAATATTTTAGAAAGTAATTTACTATTGTGTAACTCAGTGATGAAGGCTACCTGGCCCCTTGCTAACACAAAGCTGATGAAGACAATTGTGTGCTCGTGTTACAAAAGACAAAAAAGTTAAATCATTTGGTGCTGTGTGTCCATCTGATCACATGAGGTATGCTGAGTTTCGGAGTTAGGCTGTGGGAGTCACAGAGACCGGATTTGTTGGTTCACCGTTCAGCTGCTTCATAGCGCCCTTCCTTGTTGCTATGGTTAAGTTGTAAAGGTCAGGTGTGTATACGCATGTTGAGGAAATGTATGTAAAATCAATATCCAGTTTTCAGCCAAGATTGGACATGGTAGGTGCATCGCATAAAGGAATAAACATATCAGTGCCATAACTCGACTGATGATCTAAGTGGAAACCTGTTATCATGCTATCCTCAGCAGTGCCTAACACTCTGTTCACTGTTCCTGGTATTAGTCAATGACCCAATTGGCCTCAGTATGCTGCGTAAGGGCTCCATTGATGGCACTGAAAAATGACCTATGTCTTTACTCAACATTTTCTAAAGTTGGCAAAACTAGTTTGATGATTAACAGCAAATTTAACTTGTGAGCTTAACAGCATTTCCCAGATGAGTATTTTAAAATTTAAGATGCAAGATATGTGGCAATGCCTTTTGGTATACACGTATGTCCCTCATTGACAAGTAAGTCTCTGTGAATATGCTAGCTCTCAGTTGCTTTGAATTATGAAGGCATTCAGACTTCTGTTTTTGTGTAAAGTTTACATGCTGTGATTTACTGTTGAATCATTGCACTCTGTACACATTAAATTAATCAGTTTTTGATGTAAGTGATAAATAGCCGCTTTCAGATGTACTGTCCTTTGTCTACAGTCTTTATCAGAAGACTTGGCTTGACCGTGGAGGAAGGATACCGAAGGAGTTAGAACTGCCCGGGCTATAGCATCTGGCCAATTACCACTTTCTGGCATGCCCAGTATGACCGTAGCAAGAGCCCAGTGAATGCTTGCTATGCACCACCTGTTTTGCAACCGTAAGCCCCTTTTGTACCCCATGATCATAGCCACAATTTTTCACTGGTAATCTGCATCCTTAAAATGTGTACTGCAGTATAGGAAGTTGAATATTCATGTCCTTATTGGTGCATGGTATGATCTGACAAATTTAATGCATGCGCAGTTGCTTTTATTGGGCTGTGTACCCGAAGTGTTCATGTGTAGTTATTGCCCTTATCGAACGCTTTCTTCTGGACTCATTTTGGAAATGAATAGCCAAGTTGTTTACAAGATTTTGTGTTTTATTCGAATCATTTTTACACAAATTTACACAAAAAGGCATTTTATGAAATCTCATAACTCCTGATTAAATAAAGCATTTTGTTTCCTGTGAACTCAGCTGTCCTGTGGTGGTCAACATGTTGTTGGCCAGTCTTAACCAAATTCGTACAAAGACTTTGAAAACTGATGTTTTGGAGTGACAAAATCAAATTACAAACAAAAAGTGCATCAAAATCCAAAAAAAAAAAAAAGATTATTTATGATGGTAAAAGTAACTTTAATGACAGGTATTTTTTCTTTCTATTTCCTGTCACTGCAATAAGTTGTAGTTAATTGCAAGAAAACATCACCAACATTGCAGGCAATCAGGCATTTTTGGAATGTTTACTATTGTTCATCTGACCGAGTGGCAATGATCATTGAGCACTTTGATGTGCTAGAGTTGTAACTCCTGTGTCCTTCCTCCATGGCTTGACAAAGATGTTTTAATGTTAAGTTAAATGTGGCTGTTGGAGATTTTCAGATAATGGTACTGGTGAATATAAATAAGCCCTATTTTTATTTCAAGATTTTACATATTATTCTGTTGTTTTGTTTGGGGTGTATGTATCTTGTTTGTCTTATTCAAATTTGTAAGTTCTTGTATTATCCAGTTTTAGTTTAATTGCTTGAATTGAAATTCAAAACACTTCAGTTGGTAGCAGTTGTGTTTGATACTTTTTTTTGAGTGCAGCGTCAGAGTTTGCCAGTGTTGTTGCATGCCAAGGAAAAGGACAGTTATATAGCAGTCCAGGCAGGCAGATATCTTTTTTTGAGTAACAGACTACTGTTAGTGTATATTTTATTATTGGTGGGTCATGCTGGCTAGCCAAATAACTTGGACAATCGATGCAATGTTTATTCTATCACCTAATGGAAAGTCAAGATTATATCTTTCATGACTTTTAGTGATTTTTGAAAATTAAACGTCTTTTTATTGTACCTTCCTGTCCGACAACAACAGCCTGGAACTTGCATTGTTTGCTTGAGTGTCATCATGTCTACTAATTTTTCAAGTGATTACAGCAAACCTGACATCATTGGTCCAGGTTTTGAAAGACATGAAGACCAAGAATGTTGAAACCAAGTTCACATCAATTTAACTACCCTTTTTATATTCTTTTTCTCATACCTGTTTTCATTTGAGGGAGGGTCGATCGGTCCAAAAAATGTAATTCATAAAAAAAATTCTATGCTGCTGCCATACAGATGACTGAATAAACCAGGCAAAGTGCACCATGTGTGCTTGTAACTATTATATTGAGTACCATGAGCATCTTTGTTTCTGAGTGCAGAGAAATATTTTTATTTGTTCCCAACACTATACATGTACTTCATTGGTCTGAGCAACAAGACACAGTACACGTTTCGTGTGTGCAGTGCTTATGTACATGGTGCATGTATGTTTTGATTTTTGGCGCTTGATCCATACATGCAGTACATTGGGTGTGGTACGGTACCACTCAATCTGGTGGTGATGTTGTACCATGCATTTTGACTCACTGCGTTCATGTTTGGGCAAAATTGTATCGTACATGTATATTTTCAGTGCTGTTTTTATACAGGTCCTCATAAGCTATTTTTTATTGGCATGGTCCTCTCAGCAGGGTCGGTGGAAAAATTGGGTTATTTTTAGGTTTGGAGCGAAAAATACGGTCCGTCTGAAGTGAGAACCATAGAATTTAAAAAGGTCGCCGTTACTAATTTTGAATAATGAGGCACTTCTGTTTTTCTTTTTACATGATTTCTATGTACACAAATGTTCAAATGAAGTCCTGAATTTACTCTGTCACCTGCCACTCTGTCCTCTGTCACCTGCCACCAAAACGAAGATGAGGGAACTCATGGTTAATTATAACTATATGCATTTTTAAAGATTAAAAAACTCAAACTTCTGCTGACCTAACAATTTGCATTTCTGACAATTGTATCACTTAGTGGTATATGAATTCCCCTAAATCTGGCAACCAGTACATATCATTGCCACATCACATTTTGGCAGCCTATCTTTTGTAGCCCTACCAAAATTCACTTGATATTTACATACCACATGATTTAATATTGATAACAGGCCAATTTGTCTCTTTCCTCAGGTGCAGCTTTGCATGTGCATGACGCTTCAATCACTAGTCTGAGCTGGGTTATAAAGAATGCTACCTACTTGGAAAACTTGTACTTCTGTGTTTCCACTGATGCCAGTGAAACCTTGCAGTTGGAGTTCTTCAGTGTACCCCCGAAAGTAAAAGATCCTTCATGCTGTGATTTATGGCAAAGTATTGCTCTTGCTCGGGAAAAGTATGGGGCAAATGTTTTTGATAAATGGTAAGGCTGACTTCTGTTTTGTTGGGCATTTTTCTTAGGGATCTTCCATTATTTCTCCAAAATAACTTTTACATAATTACACAGGAAGCCTCCCCCTTTTAACATACATGTATATTTGTGAAACCCCTTAGAATAATTTCATGTAGCCCATATTGGCGCTACCTTCCTATATAAGATTTATAATTACCTTGCTGAAATATTGCAAAATCCATAAGCGTCCCTACTCAGTGCATCTGATGAAGTATATGTGGTTCTTGCTCATGTATAAAAGCTCATGCATGCTGTTTTCGTTTTTCCAGTTGGTCTATAATGTGCTACCCCATTGTTGCCATTGCAAATCCACCAGAACCCATTGGTGTAGATTTGTAAGCTCTGGGAGTATTTTAAATGGCACGTACTTGACACTATAAAGTATTTCACTCAATATGTGTATTATTTACTGCTGAGCAGCCAAAGCCATTGTGATATTTGTCCCATCTTTCTTTGGACCATCTACTTCCCATGAGAGTTGTAAAGATGTTTGCACCTCACTAGCTAGTTCATGTTTTGCAATTGGAATAATTGCAAAAAGATTAATAAACCAATTCACTCTGTTTGCTGGTTTTGTTATTTTGTTTTAATAGGCAGATCCCATCCCTACAACAATGTGTGACTCTGTGGAGTTGACCAACTATTGTAGATGTGTCCCACACATTTCAAAATAGATGCAACTGTCCAATTGGCATTAACAGTTGGTTATACCACACCAGTCATTTTTATGATATATTGTTTCATATCAGAGCTGCATATACGCTCATGAAAATCCAACAGTAATCTGAACGTAAACATTTTTGAATGTCTCCACTTTTTGCTAACTGATATATAGAAACGTGAAACTGTTATTAAATGTTGCTGTGGTAACTTTGTGAGTTTTTTCACTCGTAGTAACCAAAACTTGGCATGATATTTTGCAATTCTTCTGCATTTGTCTTTTATAACCCTGCGGGTAGGGCACTTGACAAGGCATTGCCACAATCCAGTAATGTTTATAATACTCCCAAGACTAAAGCACAGTTTGGGATTGTCCTGCCATTATACACATTACCACTGGCAATGATGTCACTGTTGAATGGATGGTGAGTGACCTTGTCCTTCAGCGTGGAGAAATACAGTAGAACCCTGGTTATAAGTCAAAAGGAAGGAGGCATAGACATGCACGAGTGAGGCGTGTAGTTTACCTAGATTCAGCTTTCGAGTTGGTTTTCACTATTTACATCATGAGAGAACACTATAACCTCTTAAAATTTTGATTGTTGTAACCAATTTGGTACTATACTGGAAATTACACAGAGTCACTGTCATGTACATGTAAGTTTGGATTTTGAGGATTGAGACTGGATTCAGGACTTCTTGTCAATTTTGGATAGGATTTGAATTGTGCCATGCATGAAGGCAGTCGGATGAGAGCCAAGGCTATTCAATTCAGATCAGATTTGGAGATTTGCCTGAAACTGTCACATTGAATTGAGTTTCTGATGCACATCTTTACAGTCTTTTTATAGCCAATTTAAACATTAAGATTTATGTATTTGTAAGAATGTATGAAACATCAGTTGAGCTGGTACCGTTTTTTCAAGCACATGTAATTTTATTGCCATAGAGTTTGCTTTTTACTTACAGGATTTTCAGGAAGATGTCCATGTGGACAGAGGATGATCCAAGGAAGATGTATCCCAATTCTACCATTGCATGGCAGAAATTTGAATCTTGCCTTAAGCCAGTGAATGATTTAATATTCCATGTTGATGTTTTTGATGCTTACCTTTGGCAAGCTATGACAGAGTTCCTTCACGATAATGTGCAGTACATGGAGATACGAGGTTTGCTGCCGCAAGTAAGTCCATCTGAATATACATACTTGCTGATGCTTGACATCATTTTGGGTTGATTTCATTACACAGATAGAAACGCTTTCCTTTGGTTATACTGGCATTCAGATTAAGTGACATTAGCAAATATTTTTATACTTCTGCTTGCACGGAGGAGTATGTTTTTTGTTTTGGTAATTTTGTTTATCCTAATGTGGGACAGCTAGAGCCAACCATGATGGACAAAATGTAGCAAGTTGCAACAGGTTTTCCCACCCAGTTAAATAGGATTTGGCTGCCAAATTAATGAAACATCACTCTTTTTTGTGCAAATATGAATGGATGTGCAGATCAGTATTCGTTAATTCAACACAATTGTTCAATTTTTTTGAAAGCATGCGATTTCAAAATTCAGCCGTCATTAAATTTTAAAAATGTACCATTCAAATGAACAGTGCCCATTCAAACTGGCATTCAAACTCACTGTAGCCTTCATCTGCACAATTTGGGTCATTCCACTTCACCTGTTAGCAAATTTGTGAAATGCAGGCAAAGATACTGACAGTGTTGTATTCGAGTCTATCTGAAGTCATTGAAAGGAT